AATTCTATTTCTGATGCATAGGATCCTCTGAAAGAGGCAAGTGTAGACATACTTAAAATCTCTGATGATAGAAGAAAGGTATTATAAATGAGGCTTTCAAAAGAAGACAAGAATTTAGAAAAAGGTCATGAGAAAAGCACACTAATATTATATAAGGAAGTTATTACAACTCCTTCTGCCTTTAACTATGGGCAAAGCATGGTTTATATAGAGATTCTGGGTCATAACATGATAAAACCTAATAGTAGAGATTCTGGACACCATTATTACAATATAACATAAAGGCAAAGATTCTTTTAATTATTACAAGAAGACAAACTATTTTAATTATTATAACAAGATGAACTACTTTAATAAGGTTAAAGTTAAAGTAGATGTAGGACATAAAGTAGATTCCTGGCGAGTCTTCCTTATCTTTTAATATGACACAAAGCAGATTTCTTGATGATTATGCTGATCGCAAGCTTTTGCAGATGGGTTCATAACTTGGGGACAGGTTTATGACATTTTCTAGGTCAGAGTTATGAGCATCAGAATCATAGATTCTTGTATTGTAGTGTGAAGGTGGTCTGTGACTCCTTTTGAGTTAGTATTCTTCAAACTTTCTGAGCAGAGTCTCATCATCATCATCTTGGTTATGATCTTGGGATTTTCCTACAAGAAATGGAGTTTGTAACTGCAGGCTTGGCTGAGAGAGATGGAGTCTTTCAAGTTGAGTGAGCTAAATCTGTGAGTTCTCTTGATAAGGATCCTAGGATTCTTCTGGATTTGTTGGAATCAGGGGTCTAACAGCACACAAGATGAAATTTTTATTTTTTATACTTATTTTGAAAACAATCATATTAGAGGTATTTATACTTTCTCTCAATTTTTAATGTGGTACCTATGTGTTTTCTTTTCTTAATTAAATTATTTAATCTTACTTTTACAATAACATTATCTCTTGTAATTTTGTTATATTGGGTACAAAATTAAAAATTAAAAAAAGTATAGGTACTTTCAAAATGTTTTTTAATTTTTTTAAGCTGTAAATATGTCAACTAAGGGTCTAAGAGATTATTAGTCCCAGTAATTAGAATTATGATAATTTGGAATAAAATAAGACCATGAAATAAATAAAAATACAGTTGAACTTTATGTGAGTGACAGGCTCATTATTTAGAGAGCTCGTTAAAAAGAGTTTTCTTTTGGCTAAAAAGAAGTTAATTTTATTAATTACCAAAAATTTAATAGGATCCACATACCAATATCCGAAGCTAAAAAAGAAAAAAGTCTCATAAAATCCCAAGATACCAAAACTTAATATGAAAAAAGTTTTACCATGTTTTTTTTTTATCTTGATAAGTTATGTGCGAGTATTCTTTATTTTAATATTACTTTTTCTAATTGTGCTTGGTTGAAAATCTAGGTTACAAAATTTATTGTTCAAAGGAACCAAACATTGGCAAAAAAAAAAAAAAAAACAAGCACATAGCTTAATATAAGTTGCATGCAATTAAAGAAAAATTACTCCTACTCATGAACCTAAGTTCTTTAGTAGTTGGTCCTTTGTGCAATAGACTTTACAATAGAAATTTTTCAGGGCTTTTCCCAAATTGATTTTAGGAAAAAAATAAAATACCCTGAAAATTTTTATAGGACAAATCAATGTGGGTGAATTTTAAAATTTCACTTGAGACACCTACTATTATTTTGGAATTTTCAAATCTTACAAAATTACATTAATGCCCTTCACTATTTCTTTTTCTTTAAATATTGCCACCTTAGCCAATTTCTGATCACTGGAGCTTAGGCGTTGACAACCCTACTAGTGACTTGCTGTCGAAACTCTGGCGATTTGTCATAGGAACTTAGCTGATTAGTTGTCGAAGCTCCAGTAACTATCCTTTCTTATGCATTGACTATTTTTTTAGCTATTAATTACATTTGTTTTTAGAATTCTGATAACTACTCTTGTTTAGCTATTGATTATTCTAGCATTGCAATTGATTACTTTCATTTTTAAAAATTTGGTGACTATTCTTGTTTAGTTATTAACTATTTTAGTTTTGCTATTGATTAATTTTGTTTCAAAAATCAAAAAAATACATTTATTGTTGTTAGAGACCTAATGACTACTTTTTGTTTAATTATTTACTACTATTATGTAGTTAATACTTATACAAAAGTAATCACAGGAATTTTGAAAGCAAAAGTAGTTAATAATGAAATTAGAATAGTCAATAGCTATGTGAAAGTAATAACTGATAGTAAGGACAATATTATCATTTTATAATATTTTAAAATTAAAAAATAATATAAGGAGTCTGATTTGAAATTTTAAAATTCACCCATTCTAATTGATCTTTTAGTATTTTTGAAGGTATTTTAATATCTTTTTTCTATTTTTTTATTGAATATGGCATCACACGATTAAAATTCTACCCACTAATAATTAGACATAAATTTAAATTTTAAATTCGATGCCTGTGATTGTAACCTGCAACAAAACCATTGAAATCGCTATCAGTGATTAAGTTCATCATATGCCATAAAAATTTGATGACTATTATTGTTTAGTTATTAACTATTCTAGTTTCGCTATTGATTAATTTTGTTTCAAAAATCAAAAAAATACATTTATTGTTGTTAGAGACCTAATGACTACTTTTTGTTTAATTATTTACTACTATTATGTAGTTAATACTTATACAAAAGTAATCACTGGAATTTTGAAAGCAAAAATAATCAATAATGAAATTAGAATAGTCAATAGCTATGTGAAAGTAATAACTGATAGTAAAGATAATATTGTCATTTTATAATATTTTAAAATTAAAAAATAATATAAGGGGTCTGATTTGAAATTTTAAAACTCACCCATTCTAATTGATCTTTTAGTATTTTTTGGGGTATTTTAATATCTTTTTCCTATTTTTTTATTGAATATGACATCACACGATTAAAATTCTACCCACTAATAATTAGACATAAATTTAAATTTTAAATTCGATGCCTGTGATTGTAACCTGCAACAAAAACATTGAAATCACTATGAGCGATTAAGTTCATCATATGCCAAGAGTATGATTATGCTTTTATTAATTTAGATTAGATTTGATTTAAATCAAATTTTCAAATGATTGTTTTGGGGAAAAAAGCAAAGGAAAACTTCAAAACAAAAAGTCTGAAATTACTAAATGTAATAGCACTTTAATACCAAAGCAGATGTAATAACAACACTTTAATAGATTTTAATAACATTAAACTAGCAAATAATAATACATTTTGGCAAAAAAAAATTAATTTGAGAACTCCTTTTTGTAGGATTCTCCTTTATGCAAATAATAGTGATAATAGGATAAAAAAATAGACTAAAGCGTTGGGTAAGAAGCCTGTGAAAAGAAGAGGGAGAAGCAATTGAGAAACTCTTTTTTTTTTTTTTGGGAGAGAAGCGGGGGAGCAATCAAGAAAATATTCTTGCGAACTAAATTGGAGAACTATATCGGAAAAAGCTTTTGCTTGGTCATTAAATTTGAACTGCTTCAAAGTGCAAATGAACCTGGAGGGTGAACTAAATGAAAACGACTACTTCATCAGCCAAACACATCATTTTTCATCCAAAAAGAATTGGTCGTGGCCGACATAAGATTATTGGCCCATAGAGTCCCAAATTTATGGCTTTTAAGCAAATGACACACATAGTTTGAAAAATCATCACGGAATAGAAACCCATTTCAAACAGTCAAAACTTAAACCATCCTAGAAAAAATATAGTCATCGGTTCAACAGATATGGTATGTTTAAAAATAATAATAATAAAATAAGCCAACTATACATGAATGCCTGAAAAAGAAAGACACAAAATACTGCATTGAACCGGCAAAACATAAACCAGCAAAAACATTTGAATTAATAAATAAGACTCAGTTTTCAACTAAAGCAAAGGAGGTAGAATAGGAGTATCGATGTTCACCGGCAAATACTCCTTAAATTACACTTAATTAAGTCTAATAAAGTCCACAAAATAGTCATTCTCTAAGTCAACCACAAAAAACATAAGCTTTACATGAACCAAGTTACAATTCTCCCAGACTTCCCACTTTCATTTGTCAATAAAGGATCTCCACGTCAACAACCTAAGCTTCAAAACCATAGCCACGTCGACCTGTAACACTTTGCATCATAACAAAGAGCCATTAGTAAACCTATCATAATTAAACAACAGCAAGGACGAGAAGGCTGATATGCTCCTTGGTCCTCCAAAACCTAGTATAAAAGTCTAGAGCCAGATTAAGGACATGCTTGAAACTAGAAAAGAGACACCTCATATTTATATATACAAATGAAACTCCAGTCCTAGCATTTAAATCTATAGCCTAAACTAAAATATCACTTTCTTCTATGCATAGAGGGAGCCGATAACATAGTCATTGAAAGGAAGTGTTCTGTAAAAAAGCCCGAGTCCTGGAAATGGTTAGTATGTACAGAAGTAGAATCTTGTGCTTGCTTCAGCTCTATCATCATCTAACTAGTCCTAAGAAGATTTGCGAATTTTGAAAGACAGTAAACACTTGAAATGTTAATCAACCTCAAGCGGCTATTGGGAAATATATCCAATGTGGAGAAGAAAAACTCAGTAGATAACAAGCTATAAGTTCTCATTTGCTTGCCTCATCATCTGGATTCATTATTCTATCTATCTCGGGATGTGGTTATATCATTTTCAGATGATATGAGACTGTCTTCAGTTGATTAACAAACATACATTAAAATACCTAATCCCACAGCTCGTCATCTAAAATATCAGCATTTAAAGAAAACACAGTCAAAAGATTTGAAACAACTTAAAACAACCAATTCAACTCATGAAAGACTTGCCATTAAAGATCAGGATCAGTAACTTGGAAAACGAAATAAGACCTTGCAATGCCGATGAGTAACACTTCATATGGGAATCCTAAAGGTTAATCTTTTCTACCATTTACTTGCCTCAAAATAATTGCAGGTGCTTCCCAAAAAACAAAGCACTCCATCAATTGCCTCTGGTTCCATGAAGAAACTCCCAATAACGAGTTAGCATATGATCCTTCGGCTCCACATCATTCCACAACCCAGTACAAAATATCGCATATGCATCAGCTGCATACCTGATTGAAATAGACTTGACGTTAGTTAGGATAGCATCAATTAGATAAAACTAGGTAAAATATATGAAAAATAAGGGAGAAAGCCAGTGGCATCATCCAACTTACCTGCCAACACCATGTAGTTGGGGCACATGCGTCCAATTTTCTCCTAAATACTCTCGAGAAAAGCGTTTTAACTGTTCTGTCCTTTTGTGTTGCAAACCTAGACTTCTAATTTCCTTTTCTAATACATTAGAAGGAACTTGAATGCATGTTTGTGCATCCGGACACAGATCAAAAAAATTTGAAATAACTCCTTTAACCTGCATTACAAAACTCTCTTTTATGAGTAATTATAGTACCGGCATTATGTCCCCTAAACAAAAATATTCTTCATTACTATGCTTTGAAAATTACCTTGCATATAATTGAGATATTTATGATCTCATCGAGTTTAAAAGAGCCTTCATTTTTTTAGAAGATTTAAGGAAATGATATTTTAACTGATATTAATTGAAATAGACTTATCACATATGAGCTTACATGTATGAATTAAATATGTCCAAATTTAAATATCATAACACATGGAAACATCAATGACATTAAGATTCGAAGGAAAACACCAATCAAAATTAAATGGCAAAAAGGGGAGATGTGTAATTGTACCTGCTTTCCAGTGGTACAATTTAGCAGCATGCATATAGCCAACACCCTCCAAGGGTCATGAGCATGATTCTCTTGGATAAGAGGAGGCTCATATCGTGGGGGCTTCCAAGTGTTATCAGGAGCTTTTCTTTTGTAGGCATCCTTCTTTTTCTCATCAGCTCTAAGAGATTTGGGTTTTGACCTTTTCTCAACCACACTCTTTTTCTTGTCCAAACCATTCTTCTTAGCTACACCCACGCCCTTTTTCTTAACAACACCCTTCGAAAGAGGAGGCATGTTGGCTTTGTAGTTATTGTTAACAGGTATTAGCCTGGATGGTGCAGTACGGGTAGCAAATCCCGGCTTCCATGGATCAACTTTGCCTCTACAGATAGAAGAGCAATGATTCGTTATTTTCCTAAGAATATTGATATCTCAAAGAAGCAGAGAGACAAACGACTTGTACATACGTGAATGCGAAGCGGGCGAAGGGATTTGAGGGATCATCCACACTAAAATCCTCCATTTGCCTAGCAGCAGCAGAAAATCATGTTTAAGACAAAGAAAAACATTTTGACAGGAGAAAAGATGAGAGGGTACCTGAGGCGATTGGAAACTTCTCGAAGACGACGGTGTCTTCAACTCTCCCTCCTCGAAACTGAAAGGTTAACTGCGAGTTGTGAAATAGGAAGGCGGGACCCGGCCAAATATTAAGACGGGATTCGCGCCTCAAATTGGGAACATGGCCATCTCCCTTTTTCATAATTTTTCAAAAACTCTTTAAAAAAATTTAGACCGTTCGATTTCATACTCTTCTCCTGTTACTTTTCTTTTGCTTTTGTCCTTGAGGGAAAAAAAGAATTATAACTTATTTTTAATTATTTAAAAAAATTTGATGAAATATGGGATAAAAAATAATTTTATTCTTATATTATTTCAAGGATATTTGAATTATTTAAACTTATTATCATTTGAAAATTTATTTAGATTTATTGATATTTTAGTATTTTTATTATTAGAATTACTTGTTCGAAAAAATCACTTTTGAGGTACCTATATTTTTTTTAATTTTTAATTTGATGCCTAAGCATTTTTTCTCCTAATTAAATCTTTATTTTTTTCTATTAACATTATTAATCCTTACATAAAAACTAAAAACACTAATAGAACAATATTACAAGAACTAATATAGTTTTAAAAAAAAGTAAAATTAAATGATTTAATTAAGAAGAAACATATAGGTATCAAAGACTTTGGTTAAGAAGAAACATATAGGTATCAATTGCCTCTGGTCAAAGACTTTGGGTATGCGTAGAATATAGGTTTTGAACTTCTTTTATTGGATAATAAAAAAAACATTACTATAATGTATGCTGAGTGTAAACAAATATATACATATGTGAGGTGTATAATAATTAGTATGCGGTTTGGTTATGGTTGGATTTTTCACACAAGCAACCCCCTTCTGTGTTCGCAAGGAATATAGAAAATAAGACACCACATGATCACCATACTACAAGAACAATGGTCAAAGACTTTGGTTATGCATAAAATATAAGGTCTTGGATCTGCCCTTGATGTGCCGGATAATTTGATTAGATATTAAAAGAATATTTCAATTAAATACCCAAGCAAGATTGTGATATTTTGACTTGGTTGAACAATTTGAATTAAATCCAATCGTTTACTTTATAAATTAAATTAATTTATATTGTATGAATTAAATATATATTAGAGATATATATTTAGAATCAATTAAGGTTGATTCTAGATTTAAATTCAAATTCATAATCTTATTATTTAAGAGACATCTGAATATTTGAATTCAAATTCAAACTAATAGATTTAGTGGATATTTTGCATTCTCAAAATATCCCTGGCCAAAACTATAAATAGAGGCCTACATTCATCAGTTCAACTCACCTTAGTAGTTGAGTTTTCCTACTCTATCCTTTCTCTATCTCTAATATTCTCTCTTGTGTGGTGCTCTACTATGTCACTTAAGTTTAGACTCTAGTAATCTAAACTTTGCATGAGCATCGGCAGATTAAGTCATGAAGCTTTGAAGGAATGACCTAGATCCGAACATGGATTCGACCTGATACGCACTTTGTTTTCTATTTAATATTTCTGACATTATGAGTCATAATTGAAGGAAAATAAAAAGAAGAAAATTAAAGAAAATATGAAACCCTAGTTGAAGCCTATAAATAGGATAGCAAGAGTTGATGTTGGGAGGATGATTTCTTTAAAAAAAAAAAAAAAAAGGAGGCAGTAAGAATTTCTGGGCAAAAGAGAGGCAAGAGGAAAAGGTAGAAAGGCTACACTAATTCTTCTAATGATCATCTTACGAGCTGGACGGGAAGGATATTCTTACTCTAGGCAATAGTTGCTTTCATTGTCTACTTCGATTTGTGTTTTGATGAGCCCTTTTGCCAAGGAATATCCGTAAGGAGATTGAGGCACTCATACATCTTGTCTCGCTTTCACCATGTGCACAAAATGCTCTCTAATGCCAATGAATGTATCAATGATATCGAGGCGCGCACACACATAGAGCTCCAAGCGTTCTTTTCCTTCTTTATGCTCAAGTTTTTTAATTGATTTTTTCCATGATATTTCGTATGATCACTCATGGTTGATCAAACAATTTCGATCTTATTTTTGCCTCCTTTTCTTTTCGTTTTATGTTGCTAGAGTTTGTTTTGAATACATCTTTTATGAATATATTGCCTTGCTTTAATTTGACTCTTCATCTTTAGATGCCCTTTAGTGCATATGTTTCTCTTGCTTCTTTGTTTTCTTATTTTGTGGCTTGTGCAGTTTTATGAGTTAGAAGCTTTACAAGGTATGTGCTTGCTCCACCGCCTCTTAGGATTGTGGTATGTTTGCAACAACCTCTGTAATTAATGGTAAATAGACATTTCCAAAATGATAATTTATTTTTTAAAAATCAATATATAGAAAAGAATTAGCTAAAAATATTTACGTATCCAATCAAATAAAAATCTATTATAATTAATATCCTTAACAGAGTAATAGCTACTATGCTAGAATAATAAAGATAGTTAATGAAACCAGAAATAATCAACACTTGATTTTTCATGTATGTATCAAATCCATTCGCAATACTCTGGAATCTCAAAATACAATTAAGAACGGCTGTAAATGGGCTAGGGTCTTTAAAGCCCGTCAGAATAACAGTCACTAACACCCATAACAGTCACCATCAAAATAAAAGTCACATATATGTCTAAAAGGGCTCCGCCCAACAGTACAATCCCAGAATGCAACAGAAAAGTTAAAATTATGTTAAGTATAACAAAAAGGCCCTAAATTTTGGCAATATACATCAATCAAGGCATGTATAATAAAACAGAGGCTATACAGAGTGAAAAGGGAAACTTAAGCCTCGGACAACTTCTCCTTCGGACTAACACCTAAGCCCTCACCTGAAAAAAAATATTAAATAATCACGAGGTGAGTCAAATTGACCCAATAACCATAATTCCAATTCAAGGAGTATACAGGGAGTGATTACAAAATAGTTAAGCAAGCAAAGTACAATTTTAAATAGCATATACGATAAACATCTTTACATAACATAATATATAATAATTCAAAAAGTAACTTGCATGCACAGAACTTCATCAACCATCTTGATAACCTTCTTGTAACCTCTGACAGAATCTATGGTTATTCACACATAACAAGATTCGTCTCTTTTACAAGACTACACCAAGCTCTCCAATAATGAGATGTAACTCGGCTAAAAGTTATAGAGCTCATATCTGACCATGGGTTCCCTTTCCTTGAAATATGAAAAGGTCTCATGTCCCTTGAACTGATCCTTGACCTGGCCAAAGGAAGGGTGATATTGAGGGCCCTAAAAATGTTAAAGCTAGTCACTGGGTGCCAAGTGGTGACTATACCACGTGGTATGAAATAACCAAACCTCCCACAATCATACTCCATCACAACCCGATACAGTTCCATCAGCAATTCAACAATTCAATTTCACACAATTCAATATTTATAAATTATTTCCATATTCAATACTTAATTTTGTTCAACATCAACAATAAAATCTCCAGATAAAATAATTCATGCCCACTTAACTAACAAATTTGTCAAAACATAGATTTCATATTTTTATTCCACACGTTTTATACATAAAACACTGTAACATATAATGATAATATTTATAATGTCAACATATGCTTATAATCATATCAACAAGTATAGAAGGTAAATTAGAAATGGTTATCTCAAGCTCTTGAAACAAGAAAAAAAAAAAAGGAGGAATCGAGACCCAAGAGCCCAAACCAAGCTCACTCTACAATAATGAATTTATAAACATATATTAATAAAAAAGTTAAGTAATATAACATTAAAAATAATTTAGTAATTAAATCCCCATAATTGGCTTACTTTAAAAAATTATCTTTAGGAAAAATAATAATTCATCTATTCCTCCAAACATCCTTCCAAATTACAAATCATAAAATTTCTTAATTCTATTCTACTTATCAAAATTATTAATAAGGTAATTCCTTCCAAATAATCTAAAAATTTTCAAAAGTGCTTACTTTAATTCTAAGAAAATAGCCATACATTAACCATTCCTCATTTCATCATTACAATCATATTTCCTTCTTCCATAAATCACCTCTCACTCGTTACGATTATTAAATTTTAGCATTTTCCTCCAATTTACTCTAAACACCCAATTTCCACTAGTTAAAGTCTCTCCAAAGATCATCAACATTTATGTTTCAACAAAAATTCTCAAAATTCAAGCATTGAATCCTCAATATAACCTCCAATGAACTAAACTAAGATAAATTTCAAAAGTAATATCATCATTAACACAAATCACAATTTTCCAACCAAACCCTAACTTACATTGCCTCAAAACAACAATCTAACTAAAAATCTAAGTCATAAGACTCTTATTTTAACCCGATAAGCTCTATTAATATCCTGCTAATAAGTTAGAAACCTCAAAAATTAAAAATCTAACAAGCCCTAATAAATTTTATTTTTCTACCATAAACTTGGAAAATAAATAAAAGAAGCTAATTAGAAAAAAGTAGGAAGAAAATAGGTTACCTAGACGACGTAGGTGATACCAAGCAAGACCCTTTTCTCTCTCACACTCTCCACCTCCCTCTCGCGATCACTCTCTCTTGCGGTGAAATAGAGGAAAAGCAAAAATGAAGCACCAGAGGGTACTAGACGAAAAAAAATGGAGAAGGGAAATGATAGTAGTGGATCCCGTGACCCACTATTCATTTCATTTAATACCTTTGAAAAAAAAAAAAGCCACGGCCCAAATAGGGGGATTACTCATTCTTAGGACTGTTCAAAGGACAAATCAGGACTGGGACAGGCCTATCTCGGTTCAGTCCCGATGAACAATAATGGGACAGAAAATATGTCTAGTGTCCCGGCCCGTTCCGGGATTGTCCTGATCCCAGTCGGGCGGGGTGAGATCAGGACGTCCCGAAGTTTTTTTTTTATTTTTTTAATAAAATATGATTTTTTTAATTATATTTTTTTGGGCTTAAACCTTATAAAAATATCTTTTTATTTTCTTTTTTTATTTGTTTGGGCACTCTTAAATAAAAGCTCAAAATATTACATATAATAGTCATTAAAAACTCTAAAC